GAATACAGGCGCCTACCACAACACCTGGCTAGTTTTTGTTGCTCTTGCCATTGTTTTAGCTGGCCTGGGCTGGTTTTGAACCTACCAACTTCGGTGTATGTGACTAGCACCATAACCACTGTGCTATAGGTGCCAAGCCAGCTTCTGAGATTCTTGAACTGCTTAAAGAGAAGCAGGGCACAGTAGCTCACACCTATAATCCCAGAACTCTGGGAGGCAGGCTGAGGCAGGAAGATCTTGAGCCCAAAAGCTTGAGGTTGCTGTGATCTATGATGACTTCACGACACTCTAGCCAGGATATAAACTGAGACTCTGTCCAAAAAAAAGAAAAAGTTGCTTTTGGGAAATAGACCTTTTTTGAGATAGAGTCTCACTTTGTCATCCTTGGTAGAGTGCCATGGCATCATAGCTCATAGCAACCTCAAACTCTTGGGCTCAGAGCTATCCTCTTCCTTGTCTCAGCCTCTCTAGTAGCTGGGACTGTAGGCACCCACCATGATGCCCAGCTGTATTTTTAGAGATGGGGGTCTTACTCTTGTTAAGGCTGATCTCAAACACCTGAGTACAGGAGATCCACTCGCCTCAGCCTCCCAGAGTGCTAGAATTAAGGTGTGAGCCACCACAGTCAGCCCTTGAAATATACTTTTTATTAGAATTAAAACTCACGGCCAGGAGGGAAGCAAACAGTAATAGTACAGCACAATAACAGATGCTTCAAAGGAACGTACAAGTTAAGTGGCCCCAGCCCTCTGGAGGGTTTTCTCTTATTGGCTTAGAGAACTCAGGTGCTTTTGCAGAGAAGTAACTCCTGGCCCCTTAGAATGCCCCAGAACCTGAGATGGACCCTCTGTGGGGCAGTCTCAGGAGGTGGTAGGGTCTCAGAAAGGTGCAGACACAGAGACACAGGACCTTGAGGCTAGACAAGGGTCTCTGCCCTGCCAGTGGGCAGGAGACTTGGGATCAATCCACATTTCACTGACTTCAGATTCTCATTCCCAGGACAGTAAGGGAAGAAAAATCACTTCTCTCAACATTCATTCTTCTTTGTGCCAGGCTTATTTTCAATTTGATGGATCTGTAATTTATTGGCAAGAGCTAAAACAAATCAATGTTAATTCATATTCAGCCTCTGAATATACACGTTGTTAGCTTGTTGCTTTAAATAGTATAGACAATGCATAGTAGAGTTTCAGAATTAATGGCATAAGTTACTTTTTAGTTAAATGAGGTCACACAAAGATAATTTCAATCTCAGATATGAGAAACCCAGGTAAACAACTATAACTTAATTGAATTAAGCTCCCCAGTACCCATGTGTTCGGTGTGGTGAGGCCCCCAGACAGGTCAGAGAATCCAGGGCACCAGCCGAAGAATTCTCTGGTATGATCGTGGTGTGGATCAGACCATCTACCTCTGTCATGTCTCACTGAGACGCAGAGTCACACAGTGTAGTTTGGTGGCCGAGAGCACAGCCTCTGAGTCTTTGAGTCGTCCAGTTCCACTGGTTACAAACCTATAACCGTGCCTCAGTTTCTTCCTCATGTATACCATGTCTGATGTTAGTGCCTCCTATGCAGAGGGGTCCTGCAGGTTGGACAGTGTCCACATTTCCCTGCCTGGCATGCAGTGGGCCCATTAGTGCATGTCTGCTGTCACTGGCTTCAAGTGTCATTAGAAACATGGGTGAAATGCAGTGCTGGGAACCTCACATCTCTGGCTGAACTCTCGTCTTTCCCTCCCAACAGGAAAATGGCTCATGCAGGCTGGTGGCCTCCTGAACATCACCAAGGTGTCTTTCTCAGACCGTGGTAAATACACGTGTGTTGCCTCCAACACACACGGCACGGTGAACAACACCGTGACCCTGCGTGTGGTCTTCACCTCGGGGGACATGGGCGTCTACTACATGGTCGTGTGCCTCGTGGCCTTCACCATCGTCATGGTCCTCAACGTCACTCGCCTGTGCATGATGAGCAGCCACCTGAAGAAGACGGAGAAGGCTATCAACGAATTCTTCAGGACAGAGGGTGCAGAGAAGCTGCAGAAGGCCTTTGAGATCGCCAAGCGCATCCCCATCATCACCTCAGCCAAGACCCTGGAGCTAGCCAAAGTCACCCAGTTCAAAACCATGGAGTTTGCCCGCTACATCGAGGAGCTAGCCCGGAGCGTGCCTCTGCCACCCCTCATCATGAACTGCAGGACGGTCATGGAGGAGATTATGGAGGTGGTGGGGCTCGAGGAGCCAGGGCAGAGCTTTGTGAGGCACGCCCCAGAGGGCCAGGAGGCCACTGACAGGCACGAGGTGTACACCATCCCCAATGCTCTGCAGCGCAGTGACTCACCCGCTGCCGACTCAGACGCTTCATCACTGCACGAGCAGCCTCAGCAGATTGCCATCAAGGTGTCCATTCATCCACCATCCAAAAAAGAGCCTGCAGATGACCAGGAAGGTGTGCAGTTAGAAGTCAGAGATGAAGAGGACACGGGGCCATCAGCCGAACAGTCCCCCGACACTGCAGAGCCTTCTACTGAAGTGACGTCCACAGAGCTCACATCTGAGGAACCAACCCCTGTGGAGTTCCTGGGCAGGGCCCTGCCACCCGCTCACCTGGACTCCACAGAGCCCACAGTGACGTGTGACAAAAACACCTGCATTATTTATGAAAGCCATGTCTAATATCAACCCCGAAAAGCTATGCATATCAAGAAAATCAGGGGCTGCTCCTTGAGATACATACAGATGTAGTCACACTTGCCGCTAAGCCTTACCAGGAGACTCACCCATAGGTCGGAGTGGTGCCATTTGGACAGGAGACATCTGCGTGCGGCTGTGAGTAGACCTCCCTGGGAGAGACGACAGGGGAAACATCATGGCACAGAATTGGTAATACCATGTGGAAGGTGTCTGTCTGTGTGGTTTGAATTGCAGAGGCTGCTCTCGGCCACATACCTTAATCAGCAACGTCCTTGGCAAAGAGGACTCTGTTGTAAGATACCCCGAGTTCAAGAGCCCTGTACAATGCTCACTGCACTGCTTTTCCTTTTAAAAATTACAGTCTGCTACGATAAATGCACGTACATGGGTTTGCTGCACTTTCTTCTCAGTTTTAATCACTTTCACCATTCCTTTATATTGGACTAGTTATTATATTAATACTCGTAGCTCTTTCTGGTTTAGCCCTTTTTGTCCATGTTTTTCTCTAGAACTATTACCTCAGAGGCTTTGGTACCAGTCACCAGAACCAGGACAGCACCTGCAAGTCCTTTCCAACGGTCCCAGATAGTCACCAGGCTCGCTGTGACTTCCATCCCCCAGCCTGTTTTCCCAGAATGTTTTTTTTTCCCATTTATCTCCAGTGAAGCTGCTGCTATGAAACTGAGAAAACTTTACCCTGGGCGAGCACTTTAATGGTCAGATAAAAATGCATGTGCCTGTTTATGTGGGGAGTACTTTGGTGAGCTCAGCCAAAGCACGGAAGGGGAATGGTGAAGAGTTAGATGCCCCCATGCCACTCATGAGAATTGCTGTTAATGTAGCATCATCCTCCAAGCAAAGGCTGATTCTTTATTTACCCAGAAAATTTACTGCTTCCAGAGACAGAGGCTTCCATGGGCTCCTACAGGGTATAGAATTCTGGCTCCCAGACAGGCCTGCAAGGACCATTTGCTGTTGGACAATGCCCACACCCAACTTAGGGCGGCAGACATAAGGTCTGTGATGTGCCTGTGTGACTGCAGGTCTGGGTGATGGTTCAGGGAATTGTGCCATCAAATTTCATGCCAAAACTACTGAATGACTATCCAGCCCCCAGAAAGCAGGTGCATTTGAGCCAGCAGGACGTGTTGGAAAGAAGACAGAACTGGCCGCCTGAAGGTTAGTGCCTGGCCCAACTGTGCCAGTGCACAGCTGCCTGTTTTGGGGCAAGTCTAGGCCTCTGTGTCCTTGTCTTTAATACAGGGCGGGTTAGGTGAGCCCCAAGGGCCACTTCAGCGATTTCACCCTCTCTCAGAATCAGCTCGCATGACATCCTTGCTTGTTCTCACAATCACTCCAAGGGTTTTCTCTGTCATCTCCAATTTCCAACATTCTAATGCTGTGTTCCTTACTCAGATAGAGGTTGTGGCTCTTCTTCCAGGAAGTCATTAGGACCACTCCTACAGTAAGATGTAGTCTTGGTGAGGGTGAGTGATACCACTTCATTTTCACTTACTAGCAAGGAAGACAGGAAGCTCAGTGTAGCTGATGGGGTGGTTATGTCCAAGGTTGCGTGGACACACTGCTGATGAGTATAGATCCATAAGTATAGCCCTCACCCTGGCACTATCCGTGGAAGTGGCCTTGGACAACTCCCTGCCTTTCTCTGAAGTTTAATCTTTTACTTCATCTATGAAAATATGCAGATAGCACCTGAGGGTCTGCAAGATCCCTTCTCATCAAATGTTACAGTTTTACAGAAAGTCTGCAATCTTCCATGATAAACCTGGAGCAAACCTGAGAACATGAGCCTGGATGCTTCTGCTGTCCAACCATTGCAGCAAACAGGTGGTGGAGTACATGGCCTTAAAGTGACCTTGCCTACTGGGTTTATTTATAGTAGAAAAGGAGTGACACTTAAGATGACAGGCCAGTTCCATCAGACAGCTCGTGAAAAGGAACATCTTGAGTGAGCCCACAAAGAAATCAGCAGTGAGCCGTCAAGAGAAACCATGAGTCCTGGCTGGGCTATCCAGACTGGGATGTGTTTGGGTTGTAGTAGTTTTATCTCTACTTCTTAGAGCACAGCATTTTTTTTTTTTTTTTGTCAACACGGGTCCACAAATTCTTAGCAGGGGTTTCAACACCAAAGCAAAAATGGGGACTTAAGCTCTTTGTTTTTGATGTTGTGTGAGCTTTTCCCCATGCTATTTGGTTCTCATTCCACTCAAACCAGAGTGCAGACCTCTGCAAAAACAGCAGAAGGTGCCCGTACCATCTACATATCCATGAGAGAAAATCTGGCCACTGTTTATGAAATGAGCAGGAATATGTGACCAAAGAATGTTTCCAGGTTGATTTTTGCTTCTTTAGACTGTGGTGGGGGCAGATGATAACAGATTTCGAAAACATTCTCCCTTGTCGAAGCATTAGAATGACCCCGATAACACCTACTCTACAGGGAGGTTGACTCACAATGGCAATTTCTCCGTGTAGAAAATATGCACACTTCCTGTTCTATCTCGCCCCCAGCATCTTTACAAAATCAAAGAGACCTTCCTGCTAGAACAGGAGGTGCAAACACCTCATGGCTCTTGGTTGGATTTTCAGAGATAAAGTAAACTGCCTGCCTCGTGGAAATTCACAGTCATGTGACTGACCGTGGGTGCTCCTTGAGCACTGAGCTTGCTGGAGCAGTTTTGAAAGCTGGCTGCTAATGCTCCAGCCACATCCCCTGGGTCTTATGAACTCATTCTCAAGATGGATTTCTGCTTTCTGAGTCATGCTGGTCATATCTCTAGCAATTTTTTTCTTGAGATTCCAAAAAATGATTCACATGTATGCGTAATTAATTCACTTAGGTGATTTGTGAACTTGGATGGTATTTATTCTAAATGGGGAACACAAAATTTTATATGGAAAAATCTATGTAATTTATAATGGTTTTGGTTTATAGATTATATTTTCATATCTTTAGGTCACATCTATCATCTTTTTGTATATCATACTTGGCAAAAAGAAATACTAATACTTGACTAAAATCTCTAGGAACCAAATGTGATGTATATGATCTATAACGTAAAGAAACCGCTGTAAAAATAGCTGAATGTCTCACCCATGACTCAAGCATCACTATGCCATGTCATCACATCCAGAGCAGTTTGTCTTGGATGCTTACAAGCATTCTTTCTCCACAACTAAGGCTAGAAGATTTGGTGTCCCCCACTATATATCCTGGAATCCTCTCTCGTTCTCCTTTACCTTTTTTATTGTTTCCTTTTAATAGCACAAGTTTGTGTTGTCTGAACAGAAAGGCAAATTTGAGATTACAAAGCAATGGAATTTAACTAAATGAACTTATGGCTACATAAATTTTTTAATGGACTCATAACATGGTTTTTACCTTTTTTTTTTTTTTTTGAGACAGTCTAACTTTGTCAACATCCATAGAGAGCTGTGGTTTCATAGCTCACAGCAACCTCAAACTCCTGAGCTCAAGTGATCCTCCTGCCTCAGCCTCCCAAGTAGCTGGGAATACAGGCATCACCACCCTCAACTAGGTTTTCTATTTTTACTGGAGACAGGGTCTTGCTCTTGTTCAGGCTGGTCTTGAACCCCTGGATGCAAGCAATCCACTTGCCTTGGCTTCCCAGAGTGCTGGGATTACAGGTGTGAGCCACCTCACCCAGCTCAGCCTGACTTTAAAACACCCAGCCCCTGGAAGAAATAGTTGGAAAGACATTATCAGGCATCTTTTAGTGCACACTGAAAGTTGGAAATGCAGTGTTGTACTTGTTTTCAAAGTCCCTATGGTTCTCTTAAGTGGGATTTCCTTTCAGTGTTTCATTTGATAAGAAAATGGAGCATTTAACTTGAATTTTAGATACTGTGTTTTCTCAGAACAGTTCGGCTACTGTCTCATATCCTTTTGGCAATCCCTTAAGTAATTCCTGTTTCTCTCCTTGCTTTTTAAACTGAGTTATTAGGCTGAGCGCAGTGCCGCGTGACTGTGATCCTGGTACTTTGGGAGGCCAAGGCGAGAGGATTGCTTGAGCCCAAGAGTTTGAGACCAGCCTGGCAGCATAGTGAGACCCTTTCTCTACTAAATATTTTTAAAAATTAGCCAGGGAAGGTGGTGGGTACGTGTAGTCCCAGCTACTTGTGAGGCTGAGGTGGGAAGATTGCTTGAGCCCAGACATTCAAGGTTGCATTGAGCTGTGATCACACCACTGCTCTCCAGCCTGGGTGACAAAGTGAGACCCCACCCCTGAAAATAAAGCTTTTAGTACTCTTTAAATATCTATGAAATCTCATCACACATACATTTTTAGCATCTGTTATGGTCAAGTTATTGGTCATTTTTATATTCACCTATTCACTTAAAAACCTTTTAGCAGATAACAAACATAATTTTCCCAATGTATTTTTTAGGGTTTTTTCAGTGACTAACCAGATTCAAATTAGACAAATCAATGTGGAGGGGAAAAAAATCAAACTAAATAATTTCTTAACTGTATTTTCCAAAGCAATTGAGCATTTATCCATTATACAAGAAAATGTCGGGCAGTGCCTGTGGCTCAAAGGTGTAGGGCACTTGCCCCATATACCAAAGGTGGTGGGTTCAAACCCAGCCCCAGGCAAAACCTGCAAAAACAAAAAAAGAAAATGTCACATAGGTAGGGGTAGTAATGACCCTTAACTGAGATTTTTTTTTTTCTAGAGAATACTACAATCAAAGCTAGAGAATGTAAAAATATAAAGTAAATAGCTCTAAGAATATTCTGGCATCAATTATTTTAATATAACCAATAATAGAAGCCTCCAAATGTCTCTTGCAGACACTCCAGAGCTGCTAACTAGTAACAGAGGATGCCCGCACTCACATCTTATATTTCAGTAGTTCCCAATGCCCTTCATTAAGATTGGAAAACAAGATGAAAGATTTCTCTAAATAGAAATGCCAAACTGGGGCAGTGCCTGTGGCTCAGTGGATAGGGTGCCGGCCCCATACATGGTGGGTTCTAACCCGACCCTGGCCAAACTGCAACAACAACAACAAAAAAAAAAAGAAATGCCAACCTGGTGATTTTTGTGAACAATAAAATGTTCACTTTCTAAAAATAATTAGAAGATATAAACAAATGACTAAGTTAATATGATAGCAAAAACAAAAAAAGAAAAATTGTGACGCATCCTGTATTTTGATTGTTGCTTTAATAAAAGGTTTGCACGGGTGTCCTGGAGTGTGTGTCATTGTAGGCTGATCTGCTCTTTGTAGTTACTGTTCTTATCCCTTCCTACCTTTTGAATCTGCATCATTTCTTAAGAAAAACAAAGGCCAGGTGTGCTGGCTCATGCCTGTAATCCCAGCACTCTAGGTGGCAAAGCTGGGAAGATTGTTGAGTTTGAGACCAGCCTGAGCTATTTTTCTACTAAAAATAGAAAAACTAAGGCCAGGCACGGTGGCTCATGCCTGTAGTCCCAACACTTTGAGGAGCCAAGTTGGGTGGATTGCTTGAGCTCAGGAGTTCAAGACCAGCCTGAACAAGAGCGAGACCCATCTCTTACAAAAAAAAAAAAAAATAGCCAGTCATTGTGTAGGGTGACTGTAGTCCCAGCTACTTGGAAGGCTAAAGCAAGAAGATCTCTTGACCCCCAAGAGTTTGAAGTTGCTGTGAGCTATGATGCCACAGCACCCTACCAGGGGCAAGAGAGACTCTGTCACACACACACACCCCCAAAAAGAAAAACTGGCAAATCAAAATAAATAAGTAAAAATAGAAAAAACTAGCTGGGCCATTTCCTGTGGCTCAAAGGAGTAGGGCACTGGCCCCATATACCGGAGATGGTGGGTTCTAACCCAGCCCCAGCCAAAAAAAGAAAAAATTTGGTGGACCCCTGTAGCCCCAGCTGCTTGGAAAGCTGAGGCAGGAGGATCACTTGAGCCCAGGACTTTGAGATTGATGTGAGCTATGACTCCACAGCATTCTAGCCAGGGTGACAAAGTGAGACTCTGTCTCAGAAACAAGATTTGTTGATGCTTGGATGACTGAGAAATGATGGTGCCATTAGCAGAAATAGGAGAACATAAAGAGGATATTTTGAACAGTATAAATTATTAATGTGCTTTTTTAAAAAATGCATTTTAGCTTCTTAAGAATGACATATATGTGTATGTAAACATGTAATTTGGCAGAAATACTTTCTCTCGGAACGTTTGGGATTTTAAATATCTTCTCCCTGTGGACCTTACCATGGCAGGACTGTAAGAGCTGATTCAGGGGAACATGATGGAAGTTTATATAATGAAAATGAAATGCAAAGACACTGAAGTCTCTAGCACTTAAAAACAGAATTAATTTGGGGCGGCACCTGTGGCTCAAAGGAGTAGGGCACTGGCCCCATATGCTGGAGGCAGCGGGTTCAAACTCAGCCCAGGCCAAAAACAAAAAAAA